CTGAGTCCAAGGTGCCCCGTGGTTGTGCTCCAAGCATAGTCATATTTCTATATATTTATTACATATATCTTAATTAAAAATAATTATAATTTTACTTAAACAAATATATGTATAAATGTTTAGAAGGATCTTCTACTTCCTTACATCATATATTATCAAGTCCTGATAACTAATCACTAGGCATATTTCAGCCATTGTGTGACTTTAAAAAAAAAAAAAAAAAAAATAAATTTGACACAGTGAGGTCCAGACTAGAATGACGACCTTTTTGGTAGAAAGGATTTTGGGTGAGAATTCTGTCATTGACATGTTTCTAAAACTGTAACACTCATTTACTGTTGACTCTAAACAAACAAACAAACGCCTGTAGGATTGATCCCTATATGTCTGTGTGTAACAGACATGTGCTGAAAAGTAATTTATTTTACTTGTCTAAAGGCAGTATTCTGCAGAAGACCTCTTCCTTTTCCACCTTCTGACATCTGTTTTTTCAGTTATTGAGCCATGTGTATTCAAGATCCTGTGGGTTCAAGCCAATAATTGTGCTAAAGCAGGTAGCAGTGTATTTAAAACATTTTATTGGAATTTTAAATTAAAATCAGCTTTAAAAAAAGCATTTGCCATTTTGAATAAATCAAATCAGCCATAATGTTATCTTTTTGATACTGTTTATGACCTTACTGCTGCTACAGAGCCAGTAGGTGCCAGCTGAAAAACAAGTATTTTTGTTCTTTACAGATTCAAATGAGTGGCTCTTCGATAAATGTATCCTCAACACACAAAGTTTTATTTACTATAAATGGCTTGTCTAGAATCTGAAAATGAATATACCATGTTACCTTTTTCAATGGATCATAAAGAGAAATAATTTTCCAAAGCTGGCATTGCAATTTGGCAATAGTGAAAAGAACAACAGTTCACTTTTTTAGTGTGTGTTAGACTATTATTTGTGATGAGGTAAAAATCATGACTCCCTGTCAGATAATGCTTTGATATCTGCATTGATAGGGTTAGTGATTATAACTTACAGCATAGTGTCAAAAGGAAAGTCATATCATTCTGACAGATGAGAACTTTTAACAACTATTAGGTATCATATTACCAGAAGAACAGACTGTAAAGATGAGAAGGGAAGCAATGACATGCATGCATCTTTTTTTTTTTTTTTTCAAAAAGTAAACCACAGTTAAACAGTACCACTGATTTCCAAAGGAATAATGGGTAGAATGTTCTTGAAGTTTGACTCATTCTTTCTTAAGCTGTCAAAAAGAAATTAAAATACATAGATCTTTTACATTAATACAGAATAAAATAATTCTTTTTAAAAATGTTTAGAATTTCAGGCCTTGATCCTGAGAACACTAATATATGTATGTAAGCATTTCCATTTCAGGGGAAGTATGTGCACCTAAGTGACCTTGCAGATGTTAGAACTGGAAATACCTCTGACTCCGTGTGATCCAGCACTTCCACAGGCAGGATGCAGGCATGTGGAAGAATAAACAGGTTACTTTTTATGTAAGACAACCAAATTATCTGGTAGCCCAAGTCCCATTTTAAAATCTGAATGATAAATGTAAGATTACAAGAGGTAGATCACTAGACAGCACCTGAAAATTTTCACCAAGTTACATAATGTTTGGGAACTTAGAATGACAAGATTAAGATTCTACTGAACAATCTAATGTAAAGAAAAATCAATATCTGAGATTTAAAAGCCTCGAAGTAAGTATAAGGAGAAAAAGTTGATAAGAATAGGTGACACAAAAGCTGAAAATCTAAAATTAAATATTTAATTAGAACTCTGATTTTGCTTTCAAGGTAGGTGGCATCGCACAGGCTATATTACAATGTTTTATAGTACTTATTTTTTTGCCAAAGAGAATACTGTTTATTTTTAACAGGCCACTTTGATATTAATACATGTGTAATAGGATCAGAACTGAAAATCAGCTAAAGATGGTAAATTTTACATTATTGGGAAAATTACAATTTATTTTTTTTTATTGTAAAAACATTTATTTTTAACAATTTACCTACATTAATCAAAAAAGTACAGCATATTTAATAATTTTACAAATTCTTCATAAAAAATATATCTCTGTACAAAAAGTTCTTTTGCACCTACTTCATGTCACAGCAGCATGTAGTGAAATGGCAGAATGAAATACTGGGAATGAAAATTAGGTTGACTTGGTCATAATGCCGGCGTTCTTCCCAACCCCCCACCCTCACCCTCCCACCTCTTTTTTTTCTTTTTTTCTTTTAATAACAGCTTTTCTTTGTTTACAAAATATTTTACACAAGAAAAAAAATTATTGCAGCTAGCCTGGAGAAAGGCAAGATGTGTGATACAAGCAGCAGTTTTTAACAGCTTTGAAGCACATAACCTGTTTTTAAAAAAATATATATAGCATGTATTATTAGCCCGTTATAATGATCTGGTCAACACTGGGGGAAAAGTCTTCTGCATATATCTCAGAAAGCAGATTTCCTGGCTGCCATACCTGGCCTCTGCACAACATTTTTAAGAGTCTTGTTCTGATAAAGCACCATATGTAACTGCATGCATACAAAGTCCTCTGGAAAATAACTTCAGGAGAAAGAGATCCAACCTGAACAGAAGACTCAAACATAGTGGAGAAGGAGAGGCATTTGAAGGATGTACAATAAAAGTACAAGAGCTTTCTTTTACTTGGGTTCCAGTTTGAATCTCCTGTTTAATCAATACTCCAAACAAACAGGTTAGCACAATCTGTCAGTGTGACCCAATTTTGAGTGTCCCTGTTCAAGGAACATTGACTTGGGATAAACATTCCTTACATAACTTCTCCCACATAAACAACTGGATGAAAGATTCACAGGATCTGGGCTTTCTAACACAAAAGATCAAATATTTAACTCTTCTCTTCTCTGGGACCTTTCCTCCAACTTGTTCCTCAGTGGTCATAGTGCAACAAAGTCACTGAAGAATACACTGTAAGGGCAGAAGTAGAAAACATCAATAATAGCTACTTATCTTCTTTTCAATACTCTTTTTCTTTTTTTTTTAATTTTTCCTTCCATCACCACTACAGAGTGACTTTCAAAGCTGAAATGTCAATTTTGAACACCTGTCAAAAACTTTAATCACACAACAGCTTCCCTCCCTGGCCTACTGTTCCTATGGAAGCTCTTCATTTGCAGAGCAGCTTCCTCTACACGAGGGAGGATCAGGACAACACCTTTGATCCAATAACTTTGTTCTTTCTCAGAAAATGTGAACTCTAAGATGTGACAGATAAATGAAACTTTCTGCACAAAAAACTCAGAAACAAACAAAAAAGAAAGTAAAAAACTACTAACAAAATGAACAAAGAACTGACTAGGAAGGATTATTTATTAAATTTTCTTCAGGGTTTCTTGCTCATATGAAGAATATAACAGCTGGAGGCCCTACAATACTGTATTATATTGCCTTGAACTTTCCTCGTTTCTGAGCTCAACATGTATGACTCAAATTGGATTTTACTTCATTATTTCCTGTAATTTCCTAATTTGGAAACTCAATTAATCTGCCCAATGGTATATTTTGCTTGCTTATTTTTATTTAATAAACCCTCTAATTCTAAGCAAATGTTAATGGTTTACTCAACCATTCATATTTACAAATGTCAAACCCTCTCTGTCAAACTGTGTAAGTACAAAAGCAGTAAGCAGTGTGTTTAAAAAACCTGAAAAGAAAGAGAAAGGAAAGGTAATTGAATATTTCTCTTTGTTCAAAGTAGAAACTGAATGACAGCTTGTGATAGACAATTTGTACTGGATTTAAATATGCTACTGTAATGTGGTTTAGTTCCATGTAACATCAGAAAATGATGTCATATTACAGGAAAAAATGGAAAAAAATGCAAAAGGGAAGACTGTATTATGAGCACAGGCTCACAGGCTTTATGAGCTATCTAAAATAAATTACTATTCACATTTGTACATGGCAAGCAGCAATAGCTGCTAACCCCCCTGCTGTTAAATAGTATGGTACTGACAATGGTGATTGATGACTGATTTCAGACAAAAACAATACTGGCAATGAAAATGTCTTAGAAATGGGCTCTTGCTCTGGCTGAAAGTCTCCAGTAACTTCTAATCATGTTTACAAAGAAATTCATTCAGAAATTGACAAAAGAAATATTGTCGTCTATCGCACAGGATTTTTAGCTGCTGCTAAACATGGGGCTCATAATTTAATATTCCAAGTAAACTTACTGTGGAATGTTTTGCTTGGCAAAGAGTGAGTGAATGCCTATATACAATGGACAGTGTGTAGAAACCCTGTATATTTTTACCAGTATCTTACTCAGTCATCCATAACACTCTAGTGCAAAAAAATTGTGCATTTAACATTTTGCAATATAACGGCTGATCGGGAATTTGGCAAACTGCCTTATGTATGAGATACACTGTAAGTTTTAGTTTAGCAAGATTTCAATGGTAAAGCATTTTCAGGTGTATGCAACCTCAAGGAAGGTTGTCTTCTCCTTCAAGAGAGCTTTATTTCTTCAGAATTTTCCCGGGGATGATCCGTGGTGCTATCATTTGTCACAGTACTCAAAGGATTTATCCAAGTGCCCAGAAGAATGCATTGAAAGGCATCCAGCCACATACAAATATGAAAGTCTGAGGCATTAAATATGACAAATTGGCATGACTTGGCAGTCTTCCTTAAAGTGTGCCTTGATTTGAAGCAGATGCAGCCAGGCATTTTGATCCAACTTCAAGATGAAAAAATATTCTTTGTCTGATCCCCAGAAGACTGACACAATTTTACCAGAAAATTTAGCTGCATGTAGGCTGACAGAAGATGTTAAAGATTACAGCAGCAAAGCCAAGAAAGGAAGGGAAACTGGTATATGGCACCAAAGGAATTACTGCTTGTCCATCAGAGGTATGGCTATGAATCAGTCATATAGGGCACTGAAGGCTATACCACTGTACAAACTGTGTTCAGAGTTGTATCAAACCTCACAGCCTTTGCCTCTGTAGGTTTTAAGTTTGTGTCATACATGGGATTTTCAAATGAAGCCTGTCCATTACTGTTTTCGTGTCCAGCATAGCCATTATACTGTACTTTTGGTCTTGTTCTGCAGGAAAAATAAAAAGACAGAAAATTATCATTAGTTGCACTTCAAAATAAACACTCCACAATTATTGCAAGTTTTAGCTGCAATGCTTCCATCCCGTCTACACAAATTTAATGATTCTGTTTAAAAGTGACAAAAGTAGACTCATAAAGGATGATGCAGGGACTTAAAAAGTAAAAGAAATCTGTCTGGAAGTTAGTTTTCATAGACAGAAGAGAAGAAAACATTCCTAATGGACAAGCTCAGGCTACAAAGCACAGAGACAATGTAGGCAAATAGGTGTGCATTTTCTTCTAAAAATGTCAAAATAATGACAATTTCGTAGCTTTTTGTTAGTGTCAAAATTGGCAACCAAAAGCAAAGCAACATACAACAAAAGTACAAATACAAGCAAAGTCTGAAGTGATATAATTTATGCTTTCTGTCAGTAGTAACAATTATGATATTTTCTGATGACATCTTCAGTTTTAGGTTGCTAGTCTGACTATAGAATGGTCCTTACACCATGGGAACACTTATTTCAACTTTACAAAATTAACACCTTACCAATTTGCAAACATACATCCTTGTCTTTTTAAAGTTTTGATATTAATGTCAAAAATATAATAACATCTTCAATTGGTCAATTTAATTTGGTCACCATTGAGCATATTTTAATTGGCTTTCCTGGAGATTTTGGATTTTACCCACACTAATTTTTACAGTATACCTAGGAAGGCAACTGGACCATCTGTACAAATATTCTGATGGAGAACAATAGAAATTATCAGTTTAAAAGATTTGAATAGAGTAGATGACCAGGTGTACATAGAACAATGAGAGTAAGTAGGTCCTAATTTATCCTTTCATTAACACCTGGTGTTTTAGATGAGATAAACACCCACAGACTTTATTGACTTAGATGTTCTTAAGCTGAGGTAGTGGGAACGGTTTAGTAATTCTGTGCTATCAGCTGTTTATTACCATTCCAGAGGAGGAAGTTGGCATTGCACCATTAAAGTGCTTTAACAGGTCTCCTGGGTGCTACTAAATCTGAGTCAGTGCAAAGTCAGCCAGTATAGCTTCAATCAGGCAATCTGCACTGACATAGCAAGAGAACAGGATATGTTGCACTGCTAGAGATAGTAACCTTCACATAAGGGTCAGTAATTTCAGTTGCCTTGTTGACCTCCATAAATACTTCCAGCAACAGTCACTACTAAATACCCTCACAGAGATTTTATGTGTCTAAACGTATGTGGTCAGAGTGATCAAATCCTAATATTCACATAAATCTTTATATTGAATTATCTTTCAGTAATCACTTCTAATCTTTTTCTATTTTGAATAGTTTTACCACCATGAAGACCACATTAAAACATCAAGGATGTTCATGTTTCTATGCAAAGTTCCGTTAGAACATTCAAAGCCAATAATTAAATGAGAAATAAAACAGGACTATGCAGATTTCTGATGTAATCAGTAAAACAATAGCCTATTATATTGTATTTTACTACTTTAACCTTAAATCTCTTAGCATCTAGAAGTATCTAAACATATCCGAGGGCTGGAGCAGCTCTCCTACGAGGACAGACTGAGAGAGTTGGGGCTATTCAGTCTGAAGAAGAGAAGGCTCCGAGGTGACCTTATTGTGGCCTTCCAGTATCTTAGGGGGGCCTACAAGAAAGCTGGGGAGGGACTTTTTAGGCTATCAGGTAAGGACAGGACTAGGGGGAATGGGGCAAAGCTGGAAGTGGGCAGATTCAGGCTGGACACGAGGAAGAAGTTCTTCACCATGAGAGTGGTGAGACCCTGGAATGGGTTGCCGAGGGAGGTGGTTGAGGCCCCATCCCTGGGGGTCTTTAAGGCCAGGCTGGATGAGGCTCTGGGCAGCCTGATCTAGTGGGAGGTGTCCCTGCTCATGGCAGAGGGGTTGGAACTGGGTGACCCTTGTGGTCCCTTTCAACACTGACAGATTCTGATCTGTTTTTGCAGAGGACTTTAGAGCCCTAATGGCTCAATGGTTGGACTTGATGATCTTGAAGGTCCCTTCCAACCTACAGGATTCTATGATTCTATGATTGTATATGAAGGAGGTTTGGTACATAGTTTTACACATGTAATTGAAATAGGGCAAGAAAGTCAACAGAAGAGTGTAAAATGAAAATGCTTGGTGTTTTGTAAACATAAACCAATTTAGAAAAGTATCTCATGACAGAACTTCATAAAAGGTTTCTTGAAAATCAAACTTTTTAGAAAATTATTCTGTTTTGGATAGGAGATAGGGAAAACTATCACTGGAAAGATGTCAATAGCAGAAACTGACAACCTACAAATAATTCCGTTTCCCATAAATATACCTTTTCCTGCATACTTTCATGTTAGAAGTAACAAAACATGCTTAGAAATCTTAAATAGGAGCTTTTCAAAGTGTAAATAAATATATTTTGATCTTGTTCAAAAAGGCTGAGATACAGTCTTAATTCCTGAAGCAAACCTTGTCTGTCAGATAAAAGGTACAAAAACTGTAAAAATAAGGTTTAACAGGCCTGGTTCTTGTCCCCAAAGAAGACCTTCAAATTCTTAGCCTCTAGGGGCACAATACTATCACGTCCTTGTGAAAATTTCATGTTGTTATTCTGGTCATTAAGATAATTTCAAGAAAGTTAATTCAGAAGTGTCAGATACTGTTCTCTTTCCTTTGGAACATCCTTTGTATTGAAGAGAATAAAGGTGACCTAAAGTTACTTTACATCACTAATCCACTTGGTAATTTTCTAGTGATAATATGACACTGATAAACTCTCGAAGAAACTATGATTTAATGGAAGAAATTGTTTGAAAATATATGAAAAAAATAAGATTAAGTTGTGAGGAACATTTCCTTTTTCAAGTATCTAATGCATTTAAATAGGTTAATATAGGCAAAACTGCCATGCTGCACCAGCAGTACCATAAAAGTTAGGATTACAGCTGCTCGCCTGAACACTAAGTTTTATATCTCTGAAATAAATATATAACTCTACTAAATAGAAAACATCATCTCCTCTGCTCATGTAGGACACAACAAACTTCATAGAATAAACCACAAAATATACCCCTATGTCACAATACACTTTCATTAAATTTTTCTTAAGAGTTTTCTTCGTCTTTGTAAGAGCAAATTGACAGCAATGTTCCCTTTACATTCCTTTTTTTTTTATCTGATCTGAATGCCTGGGCTTTCATGCCCCTGTTTTGGTTCCACTCATTGCAGAACAGGAGCTATCTGAGGATGCAGATCTGTAGTTATCAGAAAGGCATTTTACAATAGCATGTGCTGAGAGAGAGTTCACAGCTCTTCCGGAGCAGTTTTTTCAATAAAAAGCTATTTGGACATGTATCATTTCAGGACATGTATCATTTTAACTGGCGTTCACAAGTTCAAGCCCCATTGTAATTTATTTTTCCCAAATCATCTAATGCTGAGGTAGGTAGACAGTCCAGTCTTTCATAGGGCAATGCTGGACTTTAGTTTGCTTATGTAATTTCTTACAGTCACAAAATACTCCTGGTATCATGGTTATAGAACAGAAGTTTTGATATCATTTTATTAAAAATCAGAATTTCTGTTAAGCAACATTTTGCAAACTGTAGAATGTTACAAGGAGGTCAGAAAGTATTGTAGTTCAATATAGAAAACAAAACAAAACAATTCCTGAAAGATCTAGCCAAATAACACTCAGAATGAACAAATGTTCAAAAAACACATAGATGGTAGCTTTTAAACCAAATTTCAGACAAGATGGTTGGATTTATTCTGTTATCTAACGACATATAAAAATTTCATATCAGCTGAAGTCATGGTAATTCTAGTACTATCCACTAGCTTATTCAGCATGTACTTTAAGTAGTCTCATTATGGGCTGTTCCCTCATGGGACTTATGGATTTTTCATCTTGTGTAATTAATAATTATAACCATTTTGAAAGAAGCGGCATACACTCAATTTAATAAAGCACTAAAATGAAAAAATAAAATGTCACCTGAGATTTCCATCTGATTCAGCCTAACGAACCAAGAAGCTTGATAGGTCTTTGAGCCTTAATGCAGAGATTAATTTTTCTAATTGTTCACTACTAAGAACTGCCCTGCAGTGAACTCCTTCATAGGAATACTCAGAAATATCTTTCTAAAGTAAAGATATTCTTGAAAGCTTTAGCATTCTGTTTTCTAGTTAGACTTAACTATCAAAATTAAAACAAAGAGCTTTATAAGTTAATGAATAAATAATATTTACAATACCTGTGTTTGTAGAGGTAAAATGCAAACCCTGATAATATTAGAGCAAAGAATGGTACCAGGATGGCAGCTGCAACAGAACTGCTGTTTGTACCGTAGTAGTGATTTGAAAGGTCTGTGTCTGTGCTTAAAGGACCTGAAATGAAACAAAAAAGGCACAAATAAAATTCCCAGGTTTTCTGTCTCACAGTTCTTCTTTTATACAAGAATGAAATAAAATGCTGCCTAGATAAAAGAACTACATTTATAACATGAAATAAATAGTATGCAGTATCATGGTATAAATCTTGTTAATAGCACTTAATAATCAACAGCTATCAGAATTATTTGAAAAGAGTATTCAGCAAGTAAAATAATTATGAGTCACACCTCTTACGAGTCACTAATTTAATAAAGTTACACCTTATACCCTCTGAAAAAAAATAAATCTATTAATATTGCAAAAAGCATTCTGTGCCTGCAGTCTTAATATCCAGCTTAGAAACAAAAGCAACGTGAGACCCCATCAAACACAAAAAAAAGGGAGAGAACTGAGGTAACTGCAATAAACCACAATGGTTCTGCTCGGATCAATAGCACTCCCAAGTCTGTACATGTGTGTGCACGTTCTGGCTGCTTTACAATCCCATTTTAGAGGTGAGACATGAACATGTTTTAGAGCCTCTGGCAGCTGTGTTTGTGCTGGGATAAAACTGAGGTGCAGAGCATGCAAAGGCAGAGGCCTGTGGCACGGCCTCGCTGGGTCCCTGTCGTGGACAAGCACACAACTTGAACTGTAAGGCATTCTGCAGGACTCATTTTTCCATCAGTACACAGAGAGACATCGCTAAATTGATCAAATGGGTAGCCAACCTGACAATCCAAATTGTGATAGAGTGAAAAATAATTCTAGAGAGAAAAATACAGAACATTTTTACAGGAAAAAAAAAAAAAAACCAAACAAACCAAAACATGTTGCCAGTTTGAACTTATTGCTCTTAAGGGAGCAAAATACAGATCCTATGAAAGGAAGAGAGATCAGGGCAGAAGGAAAGTATACCAAGCACAGTGCTGGAACAGGCATCTGGGCTTGCTATTTGATGATATTTTTGCTGATGCTAGTAGAGAAAAATAGGAGACACTGTTTTTTACCACTCAGAAACCTTCTAACCCACCAGTACATGCCATCTCTAACATTATGACTCCCTGATTGATGTCAAAAGCATTAATTAGTCCTTTTAGGATCCAGGACAGACCAGTTACATAGCAGAGATACAGTCATTGTGATGCTTTCAGCAGTCTACTAAAATATCTAAATAACTTGGAAAAACTGAGAGGAAAGCAAGCAATTCTTTATGGTATCTTGTTGATCAAGCTCAGTGCAAAACAGGAATGAGGTAAGTTTTTGTTCTGTTGGATATTTTTGAAACTTAAGATATTTCAATTGCTAATATTGTATTACATTTTGTGCAATTCCTTTTACAAAATATATTTAATTACAGAAAGTAATTAAGTTCCGTTTAAAACCAAGAGAGCCCTCTTAGGAATTTCAGAATTGCCAGATTTGATACTAAACATGACAAATTACCACATTTTAAACTGCCGCCTTCTGTCACATTTCAGACTTCTGTATACTTTTCTGTAGCACTGGCAAAGGCAAAACTTTTCAAGGTACTAAAGCTGCTACTGTGGTACTTAGGATCATGCTAGGAGATTTATCACACTACTATGGAGTATCTTAATAAACATTTAATTGTTTTAGAGCAAAACCAGTGTATTATAAAAATCTTTGGACTTCAGTAGTCCAACACTTGTCCCAAGAGTCAAGCTATAGGCCTGTTGGGATAGTTTTATGTATTTGTATTGTATTGCACATGTACTGGACACTCTAGAACCAATCTAAATTAAAGACAGATAAAATCAAGTAATTACCACAATTAAGAAAAATTTAAAAAATGTTAAGTGCTCCTTTAAAATTTTTATTAGTTAGAAGAACTGATAGAAATTTTAAAAATTTAATGCAGTTATCATCATCTATATCTTTTATTATCACAATCCCCGGCTCTTTTTCCAATTATTTGGAATAATTAATAAAAAATATGCTAATAATCAACTTCAGCTTACATCAGCACCTGGAATTAATGTTTTAACTCTATTTTAACATTCTAAACAAGTACAGAAACAAATAGAAATATGTATAATGAATGAACTTGTAATATATATCTCAAAGCTCTTATCATGGCACATATGATAGATATATTTTAAATTATGAGTAGCATAAAAATTATAATTCAGCTAAAGGAAAACAGTAGTTTGAAATTCATAATAAGCAATTCTTCATATGAGGTTTTGATATGGAATTTTAAAAAAAAATTAAGTCAATATTTCTTGTGTGAAACTGAATATTTAAAACTAAGTTCAAATTTGTATTTGTTTCATTTCCAAGTTGTCTCTGATAACTGACTCACAATACTTAGTACTCAAAACTTCCTATTAGATGTAGAATTTCTCTATGAATGACAAAAGCTGCGAGAAATTATCTGGAGAGAAGGATGACACCTTTATAGAGTGAAATTTAAAATTCATGTCTCATGATGTTCTACACTTTTAAGAGTTGATCAGTTTCAAGAAATGAACATGTGTTTCACAGACATGGATCTAATATGTCACAGATACAAATTAATTATTCATATATCATATTTCTTGTCAATATTTGTTATCTTAATCTAGACAAGCTAAAAAAAAAAAAGTACTTTGAAGAAAAATAAATAGATAAATAAATAAATAAAGGTAATTCAGTTTCCCAAGAGGAAATATAGGAAAACAATCATTTGTTGAAGCAAGTGTCTTTTCTCATAAATACACTTTTCATACACTTTTAAATGCAGTCCAAATTGGAACGAACTAAGATTTTTAGAGTAAACATCTCCCAGAACTGTAGTGGTGAGGCACAGGCACTCAGCAATTACAGAAACTGAACATAGCTAGAGACTTACAGCCTTTAGAGTCCAAGTTATTAAAACAGAACAAGCAAAAAGCCCCCAGCAATGACTGATTGTTTGGCTAAACAGGTTAAATAATTTTGTGGCACAACTTGAGTCCCTTAGAGCAGGCTCAGACACAATTTATACTCTTTTGGCAGACTGATAACAGAGATCTCTTTGCCCTCTGGGTTATTGTCTGAGGCTACAAGCACACAGAATTGCTTCTGAAAAAGGATAAAGAGTACTTAGAAACAAAAGTTCTTTCTTTCATGTCATTTAAGTTCCAAGACTGAGCACATCCACTGAGCCCGGTCTTTCTCTAGTATTGTGTGATAGGAAAATAGGGAATGCTGCATCAAAAAGATTAGTCTTTCAAATTTAACCAAGTATTTCTCAATAAATGCTGTTCTTTGAAGTATACTGCAGATGAAGAATTTCACATTACATTATGCATGCACCAGTGCATGCATACTTCTGGCGTAGTGTGAAGGCAGCAAATAATTTAACTTCCTGGAGGAACAGGAATATGTTAAATCTTCACCTGCATGACATATGAGATCATTACCTGAGCAGACTACTCATGAACAGTATAGATTTTAAAAAACAAAGAAAGTTGTCCTTGAATATGAGACAGTGTCGACAAATATTATGACCTGTCTTGGCTGGAATTTTTGTTTCCTTGTAGCTGTAAATTCTTCAATAGAGAACAAGCAAACTATAGAAAATCAGTGTCTATTTCACAATCACATAAAGAAATCTTCTAAAAGAGACTGCATTTGTAGGAAGCTGAGATGTCAAAGCTGAAGACTAGAGGCCCTCAGCCTAGGAATGCATGTGTAACTTGGACACTTTGGCTCCTCACTAGCCTTGGGAATATAAAACTGTGATCTCATATTGCAGCTCTAACTGGTGATATGGGTAATGCTTTCCACTACTGTAGAATACATCCACCAGAGAATGCTGTTTGTCATTCTGCTTGTTCTTCATTTATCCCCATGAGTTACTCATTTCCCTGCTAAAACACGTGGATCAAAACTTTTATTAGGTAGCTGACAAACCATGGATACCATTTTTGGCAAGCCTTAAGAAAAAAAAAAAACCAAACAAACAACAAACCAACAACAAAACCATATACACATAACAAAACCAACAAACCATACCCTCACTGTTCAGAGATACCAAAGGCTGTTAAACAAGTCAGATGTTTGAACAAATCTTGATGCTTTACTTTTACATTGTGCTTGTTAAAATCAGAAAGAAAAAGCAGATTAGATATTAGAGTGATATGGATTATATGAAAGTGCAGGCAGACAAATAATCTGCCCCACATGAGTTTCCCCTGAAGTCTGAAACTGTACAGCTTCAGCAACTGGCAGTTGTTAGTCTGAGACTCTGAAAAGTAAACATATACAGCAATTTGAGAGGTGGCCAAGATGAACAAATCCATAGCATAAGTGCTATTACAGCAGTTAACAGAGAAAAGAAAAACAAAGGTGATTTAGATGAACTTTAAAGGGCATTGAGTGCAGCTAATGGAGCTGAGGCAATTTATAAAATGTAGATACAGCCTGCTATAGATATATTAGCTGGACTGTCTCTTCCTCCTAGCCCAATACATTGCTGTACTGTGCTTTGACGACTCTGCAGTAGTTCCAGAATCAGGAAATGCAGATGTCTACACTTGGTATTTACCAAAACTATTTTACAAGTAAATATTTACTATTTTGCAAGTAAATATTTAATGAGTAAATGTTTTATTAGTTTTTACAACAAAATCATTCTATGAATGAAATAACTAATTTTTCGCCAGCTCCTGGAGCACTTGAGTCCATAGGTATAATATACATCTCTGTCACATCTAATATTTTTGACAGTGAATTAGAATTCTATGGAAATATATATACATTCTGAAAACATTCATGAGCAACAAGCACTCAAAATGATGGTATTAAAATCAGTGTTGACTCTGTTTACTCTTCCTGTATGATTCTAATTGCAATTTATACATTTGAGAAGAAAATGTCTTTGCATGGCATGACACTCCTGGTACTTTCAAAAAGACATTCACAGAAAAGCAAGCAGTTGCAGCAGCATTCTCTTTAAGAGCATCCTGTAATCATTTCTTAGTTTGCTATATTAGAAAACACAAGATAGTAACACGTTAAGCAAAAATCAGTATTTGAACAGTATATTTCAAATATGCATATTTCACTATATTTTTTGTAATAGCATGGCATGAAATAAACATGCTTACTTCAGCTAGACAGCTGAGTAATTTGTTGACTTCACTCTTGCAAGAATCAATAAGATTGTACACATTAAAGCTCTATGAATGCATTTACCTTGTCTTTGGAGCATAAATTTTCCAAAGTCTTTTCCATGTATATCACCTTGATAGGTAAAAACACCTCTTTCAAGTCCTGAGGATACCTAGAATACATTGAAAAAGAAAAATGATTTCTGAAACAAGTACATAAGAATGTTTAATCATTTGTTCTTCCGGCTCAGAAGAGATACATGGAGCCCAGACTTTAACATCTTTCCTTTAAAATATTAATGAACTGTTCATGCTTATACAATACTTAAGTTTAAAATTTGCATCAGTATTAAGCAAAGTTTCAAAATAACACGTGGAATAACTTAATAATATCTGATGCATATTGCTGGGTTTTAAAACTCTCTAACTGGCATGCAGATAATTGAATTAATATAAAGATATAAAAGTCCACTGAATTGTTAGACTTAAAATTCTTTTCCATACAAAGCACCACAAAGGAGAACTGCAAAGAGTAAATTAACTCTTTTTATTCAAGATTAAATGAAATTTTATTACAGTGAACTATTTACCAAACCAAAAAAAGGACAGTATTTCTAAAGGAAAAATTCCCACTCCTATCTAAGAAAACAGGGCAAAACCCTGGAAAAATATGCTGATTCATTCCACCTTCACTTCAGTAAACCAAAAATTTCAATGGAATTGTGGCAGATAGAAATTTGTATACACATTTTTGAAAAGAAAAATAGTGTGATCTCTACAGTGACATTGAGTGCTGTATTCCGTATTTGTCATGTAAAAAGTTGGATAGAGTTATACAGGAAATCATAAACTGCTTAAAACACATGCAAACTTTATCCATAGCGGTCTGGTTACTTACATAACCATCTAGTGCCCATTTGTCATTTTCAAACTTGCTTACAAAAATGTCACTAGGTCCTTTAATTTGAAAAACTTTCAAAAGCAAGTGGGCTTCTTCTTTCTTGTAAACACCTATTAACATAAAAGAGGTAACGTATGTCTTTTAAACAATTTTTCAACCAGTTTGTTCAAGCACACTTTCAAAGCTAAGTATATTGCTCTAGAACTAAAATATTTTCTAAAAACCCTTCTGTAACAACAGAATTTTATAACCTGGAAATAAAACAAGATTTAATGTGCAGTAATAGCAGGATCTTAATTTACAGATATGTATCCTACATCATACTTGATAATAGGATACAAAGATAGTTTTGTACTTTTTAATTTTATATATAAATTGGCAAGAACCTTTGCCTTTTCATGCAGTATTTCAATAATTCTAAATACAGATAGAACTCCTTGACTGGAATTTCCTTGAACTGGAAAAAAAAAAAAAAAAAAAAGATTTTATTCACATCACAACAGTATATTGCTAAGTATATTGCTAGTAAATATTGACAATGAAGCAAAAGAAAATTTCCCATTTGGCAGCCAAATACTAAAATTGCCTTTGAACTCTTGGCCTTAAAGTGTCCTGATAACTGATAAAGTTCTTTTCAAATATAGCTTTGATGAGAAGTGAAATCAGAACTTAACAGTCAGATTTGCAGAAAGGAATATACAATATTAATTAAAATAAATGCATAATTTAATAGATCATTAAACTATCTGTGCCATTATCGAGAAAATATTTTTTTTAAAGCGTATATTAATCACTATTGAATAATTGGGCTTTTCATTGGTACAGTTCTTTAAAATGCCTATATACACTTTTTTTTTTGGTATGAATATTTCTGTGAGTTCAACACATCAATACTATACAAGATTCTGAGATTTAAAATGCCTCTCAATACTTATTTGAAACATAAGGGGAAAAATAGATGGGTGACCACATATAAATTGACTGAAATCTGTGCAGACAATTACATTAGTATCCAAGGATCTTTTTCTTTTGCAAAATAAACAGAAGAAGATTTTTAATGGAAACAAAGTTTTTGTTTCATTTTGTGTTTGGTGGAAAACATAACACAACTGAACAGATGGGAAAAAAAAAAAAAACAAAAAAAAAAAACCAAAACCTGAAAGAAAAGCTTTTTCAAGACCAAGTTCTGGACCTACCTGATAGTTTGAGTTGTATGTTCGATGCCTCAATGAATGTGGCATTCACTTTGCTGCTTGTAGTATTGAACCAATCAACAGTCAGAGTAGCAGGTTGTCTTTTTCCTAAATATTCATAAAACCCTTTCCACAGTGAATTTATAAAAAACACATCTGAAGGAACTAAATAAAAAGGGGCAAAAAAGAAACAAAGAAAGGAGTGAACTACAACCAAGTAGTAATCTTTCTAGACATACCTGTGTTCTTCATTTTTTATGTTGTAGCATCAATCTACTGTTCTAAGGAGTTACTATAGTAAAAGTTTTACAACACTAAAAACAATATATCTAATGACCTTCCCACACAATTGCCTATAATATACTACACCTGTCCATGTAGGTTCTTAATAACGTAGGTTCTTAAATAACCTCACACTGCATAGCTTGTGTGCTTCAGTGAATGTCCTCAAGGCTATGAAACATAACTGACTGTTCCCCTAAAGCCCTGTAGCTTTAAGGTATGATAAAAAAAGGAGAATAATATTCTGAAGTCAGGGATTGTTGGAAGGAGACACCGACTTAGGTTACTCCTTTTGTTTCATGACTCTATTAAAGCATCACTGTGGATGATTTTCAACTGAATATCAGTTGAATATTCAACTGAATTCACTGAATTCCAGACACAATTTAACACAGGTTTTTTATCAGTAATCTTTACACTCCACATCTTTTCTCCAAACAATATTATGGTACCTGTAAACACTGAAGTTTTCAGAGCAGGGAACTTTTTTTGGTTTAAAATATAAGTCTGTTTCCCAGAAAATGCATTTTGAATAATCTGAAGTAAAAACCTTTTAAAATGAAGCATGAATTTTATATATTTAGCTCATTTATCTTTTTCCTCTATATAGAAAAAAAAATATATTTACAAGTCATTAAATGTTGTATTTCAAATATTTAGCTAAATCACCAACGGAGTAGTAAAAGTCATTTAACAGTGTCTGCAATATTAATATTAATTGAAAAGGAAACACAGAGAAAAATTCTTAAAATATTTTATGTCAGATGCATTTACAGGATGCTACTTGTCTTGAACATTCATTTCTCCCCTACACATTGCTATATTTTTCCCATATACTTTGCTGTTAAAAAATTTGGGAAGTCTTCCTTCAAACATGATAGTTAAGCTAAACAGTTAATTTGGCCAAAAGAGACCAAGCCCACTTCTGGCCAGGAAGCACCCAGTGTTTCCTGGAAGCTTCTGAGAGGTGCAAGTAATGATTTTTCCACTCTAGTCCTAAGATTTTTCTAGCATTACAATGTGAGAAGTAAAACTTTAAGGATCAAAACAAAATTTCATAACTGTTTAACCAATAACATGAGCTCTTGACAAAATGACAGCCCCAGCAACAATTAAAATTCACCCTCACTATCCCTGATGACTACGAATTATACTAGTATCTAAAGACTGATCTTAGAAGTGTTTCACACTCTTCTAAACTCTTTAAATAAATTATTAGATTTTTTTGCACTTTATCAAAATCTGAGTATGTGTAAAGGCATTTGTCTATACTGAAGGAAATATATCAGTGTACATATCCTGTGTATCCATTTTTATTAAATTCCATGGATATTTCCTCATATATATACCTCAATATATACCATATATTTCCAACAAAACATACTGACAGGCAGTGTATCTGAAAATCCAATGACTGATTAGCTGTTGTCTCTTAAGCAAATTATTACATTTGCTGGTACACATTTCATAAAGCAAAATAATAATAAGGGTTTCAGTGTTTTTTGCCTTCAGTTTGTGCAAAAGCCACAAGCAGATGTTCAAGCTCAACGTGGCATTATTTGAAAACATCAGTAATATGTTGTTTGTACCATCACTGGATTCCAACTGAGTGGCAAACGACTACATGGCTTTGAGTACAACAGCTCCAAATAATGTTAAGCGTGCTCTTTCCAAAGAAAAAAATCTGTTCAGGAATGAGGCTTTAGACAGGGTAACCTCAAATTGATAGTGATAATGTGAAGTATTACATTTTAATTGGTATCTCACAGCCCTTTTAATTTATATATTTTCTGCAAATGTATGAATTCTGTAAATGGTCTTTCAGACTCTTTTTACCTACACATTTCTCATTGCTTTTTTACAATAGGGGCACACAGTAAAATTGAAACCTAGCATTAAAAAAAAAGGTATAAAAATTATTTTTATTCTTTTGCTTTTAATTAAAATTTTGTGTCTGAAGTTATTTTTATGAAGATGAACACCTTATATTACTGATATGAACCTGACAGGTATTATGTAAGACTCTCTAAAGAGGAAGATACCATACTTCCTTTTGTCACATTCAACATCTTCAGTATCTTGTTTCTCAAACCATCTTAACCGTCAATAACAGTTGTTGATCTCTGAGAAAGAGTACTATTGACCCAGGTTTTACAGAATTTGCACTTGCTGCAGATGGACAGGATCAATAGGGGAAGAAATGCATTTCTGCTTCCTCAGTCATGTTTCTAGAAAAGGTTAAAATGCAAGTGCTGTAGTGCCACGGATACTGCTGCGGAATCAAAGTGCCTGTGACCCAGTTCTGCCAAGCCCTTGCAATGTCCCTGCCTTTCCCACCCACTGTGGGCAAAAGCAAAAATGGGAAAAATGAACCGGGTATTGTCACATTAATACTGCACCAACTGTGGATTCTCATCAGAAAGTGACAAATGAGGAAATTCATGGCCATGCACTAGAACGGCTTACTAACTGTTTTTGCAAAGAGCATAGGAAGTAGTGAGAACCGTGAAACCCAGAGTAGTTCTTAAACTTCACATGGATATTGTGAGATTTCTTTACTTGCAGCTTACATTCAATTACAATTTGTGGTAGTGTAAAAATGATTGCTACTATTGCCTATGAAGATATTAACCCCAGCAAAAAAATAGCCAATTACTAAACAATAATAAACATCATTTATATCTAGATATCCAAAGGTGGGAAATCTGAACATCACTCTATGCTTTTAAAAAACTCTCTAGTTTAGTAATATTAGCTTTGTTCCATTTAAAATACAGTTGACAGCAAATGGATTCTAACAAAAGTCAAAATAACAAGGTAAAGAATATGCTCCAAAATACACAGTGTTCTATACTAAAGACAATTCAAAATTTAACAAGACAATAATAGTGAAGATTTCCCTTTTAAAAACAGCTTAAAACTCTTCCTTGTTAATTACTGTAGTCTGTTACACAGTTTCAGTTCTCTGCTTACTATTATTGGCATTTTCAATCATAACATTTCATTTTTTTTTTTTTTTAAACACCTTTCAAACAGTACTTACTTACCAAAACTATTTATAAGAGACATGACGTGGTGTGGCTTGATACTGATACTCTGCATAGTGAATGTATTTGGAGACTTGATCTACATTTTAATTTGGTACTGAAATTTCAAAACCTGTGTGGTAGCAGATTTATGCATACTGCAGGTGTTCAGTGAGGTGAATCCACCAATAAATGAAGACTGGATATTAATTATAGAGATTGCACATTATATTCTGCTTTATTGTGAGTCTGTAGAAGTAATGCATTTGAAAAGAACTCATTTATGGTTTCATCTGACACTCTCACTAATAAACTCACCAGAAAGGTTAATTATTAGCAGAAATACCTTTTTATCCCATCTACTCTACTCCCATCTACAGAGTACTTCTGTGAACTGCCATGAGTGTGAACCATTAATCTTCTTTTCCCTGCAGCTTGCTAAAATTCCGAATATAGAGCTGCAAGCTCATTTATTTGGTGAAAACCCTGCTCATTGTTAAGCAAGTCAGTGAATTAAAATTAGACCTTCCATTTTCTGAAAATCATTGAACCTAAGAAGATCTACATCAAAGATTTCTTAGATGTTTTTGTCTAGTTTTTCACTGGCAGGAGGAAAAAGTTAACTGTTCTTGAGAAGGCATGGAAAAGCAGCAGTAATATTTGCCTGCTGCTGGTCCATACAGTTTAGGAAAACCTATCTTAGGGTATGTTGAGAGTTTCCAGGAAATGAACGACATCAATATTTCTGAAACTGGTTTTGGGGTGTGGTTTTTTTTTTTTTTTTTTTTTTTTTTTTTTGTTGGTGTAATTTGTTTTTGGGTTTTTTTGGGTGTGGGGTTTTTTTTTTTTTTTTTTGGGGGGGGGCGTATTTTGTTTGTTTGTTTTGTGTTTTCTTACAACACTTGCAACGTAAAGAGCAGAACTTTGCCTGAACCCAATCCCTGCACTTATATTCTACACTCATTATAAGGCTCTCCATTATAGCAATCTCTCTGATATAAAACTACATCAAATGCTGGTTTTGCATATATGTGATTTATCTTTTTGACTTGGAAGGGTTTTTGTGCAATTCACAAAGTCTGTTCTACAGAAATTAGAGAAATGTTGTTTGGGAAAGAATTTCATAGAATAGATTTTCTGTGGCACCTATAAACCTCAATATTTATATTCCTTTGAAATGAATAATAATTAGTTAACTATTTGAAATAGTTTTATTATCCATAACAATCTAGGGTATAAATCAATTTAATTTATTTAGATCTAAAACTCTTCTTGTATACAAACCTGGAGTTTTAGTTATTGTTTCATTAACTTCTCTCACTCCTTTACCTACAAGTAAAAAGACACGTTATCATTTTCATGAACATTTTGTTTTTTAAATAGAATGTTAAAACAATGCCTGATGGATGCAATCATCTTTTAACCAATAGAATAGTATTTAAAACAGAAATAACTGGTCTTGAATACTTCACATGTTCAAACCTATACGCTTACACAAAACTACCAGAAAATAATTTAGGTAAACAACAATTTTACTGTGGAAAGTTGTCTGACTAGCTAAGTATTTCATACGTTTAGGCCTAAAATGTTTATATCAGCCCCAGTGCTATAAAAGAGAGCCTTATAGAGGGGAAAAATACTATCTTTAACTTTGAATAATAGTATATTAAGTATAGTAAAAATTGTGTTAATGAAGTTGGATACATCTATGAAACTAACAAAAGGCAGATAGCTGGCTTAAGATGACAGGATCAGATTTTCATAGGAAAGGATCACAACCAGTGTCAATTGCTACATTTCTGGTAAAATCATCAGAGTTATTTCCATTGACCCCAGCTCAAATACTGGCCTCGTATCATTAGTCATAAAATGCTAAAGTTCCACAGGTTGATTTGGTCTTGCATATTTGCATATTTTTTTTCTGTAAGAGCAGAAATTCGCTGATTAGACTGATCAACTTCTAAGAAAGCACAAAAAGCGTGGAACATTCACAGAGAATTATATAAAAGAAAACTAACAAGACTGTTTACCTCAAATTATTAATTATATACTGCCTATGAAAAATCACCCTTTAGAGAACTACAATAAGATAAATTTTTATGTGCAGTTTATGTCTTGACAATGTTGGAAAAAGCAGTCTGCCCATACATTAATGAAAAAACAAATATTGCTCAAACATCAAATCTAATTAGTGTACTTTGACATATTAGATTCAAAAACCATGTTGCAAATATCTTTCCCATAGTATCTGACTATTTTTCCTTTATTCATATTCAAAATGTAATTTTATGTTATTTTTCTGAATTTGGAACTTATAGTCATGTTTATTCTTGTGAAGAGCAAATTTAACCCTCATAACTATAGAGTTACTCTAGCAAAACTATATGAAATTTACATAAATATAAATATAAGTGGGATCTAGTGAAAAGATTTTTTTTTTTATAGTGTTCTTTTCTATTTAGGAATATTTTCTTAGACAAAAAGCATACCTAAAAGAATCTAAATCCCAAGCTATAAAATAACTTCTTTTGTTCCTAATAGAAAACTGTATATTAAACACTGAATACATTGAAATACGCTTTAAAACTGTGATATAAAGACAAATACAGTTAAAAATTGAAATACTCCTTAAAACTGTGATATAAAGATAAATACAGTTAAAAGTAATACTTTATATTGTTTAGATTTTGTTTGTTGTTGTTAGGGGTAAAATTATGTATATGTGCCTCTGCATTTACACCCATATGTCCTATGTTTTCCTCCATGAGTTCTAGATGCCATGCTCACTTTGTTTTCTTATTTTTTTCTTTCCTATTGTAAAAGCTGTTGTATCATATAAGTCTTTAAATAGCAAGTGGAAAAAAAAAATAACCCCACTGTTATAAAATAAAAATGTCAGAGGAAACGAAATCCAGCCATGTAGGGCCCAACATATCACTTGAGTAGTGACTTACTTTTACAAATAGGTGATTTTCCTGTCCATTTCATATCTGGTTTACATGTCCGATGCTCTGATCCACCAGCAAGAAAAAATCCTGGCTGACAGGTATACACCAAAGTATACCCTAAAGTAGGAAGATCTATTGCTTTCACATCTACATGCGCCGGTGTCTCTGGCTGCCTGCAAGCATGAGCTGGAAAGGTTTTTTTAGGGTTAGAAAAAGTGGTGGTAAACAGTTTCCATAGGATTAGTGTACACAATTTGAAATAAATGCATCCCTTTCATTACGTAAACTCTGTACAACTTTTAGAAACCTCAAGTAGCTATTACCTGTGAAAGTAACACTCTGAAAGTATAATTTTATGATTGTGGGGAAATGGAAATGATGCTATCACATTTTTAAACAATACACCAAAATTAAATCACGATAGCAAACAAAAGAGAGCTAAAATGGAGGGAAGCACATACCATTTTACATGGTGCAAATATTGGTCCTCTGAATTATTGTACTGTTGCAGTTTCAAGTATTGCTTCCACTCAATGTTTTGAATGCTACAGAGTGTTTATTTTGCTAAATAAATTCATTGTAAATTTAAATTGAAATAAAGGTTCCATAGGAAGGCTTTGTCATAGTACATCATAGTACATAGACATGGCTGCTCAGTATGCTTCTTTCACAGTGCTTCATGGTGTGCATTTATAACAACCCAAAGATAATTTGAAATAGGATTAGAATCTAAGGTCATTCTAATGAATTAGCTTAGATCAGTGTATTTTAATACATTAAGTTATTTGATGTCCTCCAATCCATATAGAGCTATACATATGCTCATCGTATGCACACCTATGGATAGACCAGAAAACCCGGATTTTTCCGAGTTCTATTTTATGATTCACAAAATACTAGCCGAAAAAATAGTCCCATGTATATTTCAGGACAGCTTCTGTCCTCTCTTAACCCAATGTACACAAAAAAATCCCTAGATTAATTTAAAGTAGTTAATGCAGTGGGTTAATGAGAACAGACTTATTTTTAATAAAACTGGTAGAACTGTAAGTGTCACAAAAAAAAAATCTAAAAAAGCTTACTTCAGATTAATGTCACAAAGACATCCTCAGTTGTAGAATAAGAAAAAAAAAATACTGTTTTAAAAAAAGTTTACATTTTGTAACATATAATTTACTATGAATTACCACATGCATCACTTTGTAACTGCTTTAAAATTGTACAATATACTAATTCATTAGATAGGAAACTAGACTTACGAATGCATTCAGACTGTATGCCACTCCAAGTTAAATTAGCCAGACAAGAACGGGTGGTAGATCCTTGAATATGATAACCTTTTCTGCACCTGAAAAACACTGTGCTCCCAACCTAAGGATCAAAACAGAATATTAGATAAAAGAGGTATACATCACATGTAATCAGATATAAAGAAAGTGATAAGCTACTAGAGAGACCTTTAAAAAAAAAAAGTCCCCTTTATACAGTTTCTAGAATTAAACTTTTTTAAAAATATGATTAAAAATCTGAGCAATTGATCTTTTGCAATCTTATTGGAAAGCAATAAGTGGAAAAATGAAAAGTATCGACAGAGCTGTGCACATGGAAAAGAATGACACTCAAACATTTCAGTTTATTAGTTTGTTAGTATGACAGAAACAAACTAAGTTACTAAGATGTCTCTCTTTCCTATACATCTGTATATTTTTCAATAAAACTTGATCATAATGTCTGCCTCAAGGGGTTCTCACTGTGTGATTTGAATAAATCCTTTTAAGAGGAAAAAAAGAAAAAGGAAAAAAAAAAACAACTATGAAGAACTGTCCCATCTACAAATAAGTTCACTAGAGAAAACTCCGGGCCACAATTTCTTAGACTGCATTTCTTACTATACACTACTTAAGTTTTACTTCAGATGTTCAACTAGCAGCAATGTTACACAAAGCCTTCCTATGGTCAACTGTGATATGACCCTTCTAGGAACAAAAGGTGAAGTAAATGAGAAAACTATCTTTAGACTTCCACTGAGAATAGAAAAACATGAAAATTGGACACGAAATTGCATATGATGAAGAATTTTCATAAGAGACAAGAAAGAAATTGTGTAAAAAGTTACAGTAAAATGGACTTATTGATGGTATTGACAAAAGTAACCAGAATACAACTCCAGGCCAAGATATTAAGGACAAAGGGCTGACCAGTAAAGCATTCTTTCTATTTTGGGTAAAACATCTGGGAAGTAAATAGGATAAGATAAAAAAAAAAAAAAGTATTCTTTAAAATTATATGGCGTTAATAAAGTAATATATCACATGGACAAATACAAGCAAGTTGCAAATAAGTAATAATCAATCCATACTGATAAGACAGCTTGCAGTCATATAAATGTAAACAGTTCTACATTGCAATAGTCATAGAAAGAGTTCAATGGACATTAAAAATGGGCAGCTATCCTCAAAAGTGGCTACCAGTATATACTCAGCTACATAAAAACAGATTATCAAGATAGATATTCAGCAAATGCAACACCAGTTCCTCCTGAAGTGGTTTGGGAAATTCATTGGTGTTTTTAAAGGTCAAATTACTGATATGACTTTGCAGACTTATCTCCTTATACCTATTTTTAAACATATCCACCTCTCTATCTTGCCAAGGACACACAGCATGTCTGTAGTAGAGACCAGAACATGGGGTGGCTGATCTTGACTCTAAGTCATCTTGCTTCTTGTGAAATTGCCAATTTTGTATCAGTAAATAATGATGAGCTGCATTTTTTTCCTCACTGACCCAAAATACCAAGGAGGGGAAAAAAAAAATCAATATTCAAGGTAGTTATAGAGTTATACCTCTTTCTCATTTTACAGCTAAAAGTAAAAATAAAAGCAGTGTACTCCTTGTATAATACTTGGATGAAAAACATTTGAGGCATTTATAGCAGTTCCAGAGCAGTGAAGCATAAAGTGAATGAAGCAGGACAGGTTGCTGGTAGATAGAAGAAAACCCTTAAAGGTCTGCTCTGTCATCACACCTTCCTATAATGACAAAAGACCGTTTAAAAGCACTAATCACTTATGCCAAAAAAAACCCAAATGTACTTCACTAATAACTGGTGAGAAAACTACATCGTGTTTTACCAGATAGTGATCTGAGAGTGAAATCACATACAATTGCAGGAGAGGGAGGGTACCAACAACCAGAACTTACAGAATGGATTTTTTTAAAAAACCAGTTCTGCTAACTTGATCATACCAGGTTCAGAACTAAGCAGGAAACCCAAACAGAGCATATTTTAGATTCCAATCAAAAATATTTATACCTGAAGAATCTATCTACAAGAGGCTAATCAATCTATATAATGACTGTAGATTGGCCATTGTTGCATCTACTTTTATCTCCTCTGTCACTTTTCCGTCACTTGGTAAACTAATAACCTGTGAGGAATTTGGAAATTATAGAAAGGACACTCATCACAGAGAAACTGGATCCAATACAAGAACAATTTTACCTTTTCTGACTGAATAAAATGTAACATTAATTGCTAATTTAGTAAAGCTATTTGCTGACTTTTTTTTCTTACATGGCTCTTAGATCAGACAGGTCTTTGGTTGTTAGGTATTTACTGACTATTCATCAATGTACAAAAGAGTTATGATCATAAAACATAGTAATTATATGATGTCATATCATATTTGCTAATCGATTTATAAATAGTCCTCCCTGCTGAAGTCTCCTAAAGGATTGAACACATGATGTACTGCAAGGTTAGAAGTTTTAGGGTTTTTTTTAAGCTGTATGTTAAAAAAAAAAAAAAAAAAAAGGGAAAAAAAAACCTTGGAATGAAGCATGAGTTTTTTATAAAAAGGAGTGGAAATTTAAGGTTTACATTAGCCATCAAAGTCTATAGATTATTTAATATATTTTAAATTATTCAATGTATCTTCATTTTAGAAAGCTAATAAATAAAAGAAAGAATTACCTCATAACCTCTGGAACTGTTCTGTATTCCAAACTGTGGAGTACCAGGGTCTGTACATGTATTGTGAGCTGGATCTAATGTAAAATGTGAAACAAAACATATTATTATGGGATAGAAAGACTACTCTAAATCTGTTTGTAAATATTAAGTATTTTCCTGAATGTCTAGTCATGACAAGAACTGAATTTTTTAATGGAAAGTGTGTATTTCTTTATATTACATTTACATTTCTAATTAAATTTCCAAGACAGATCACAGTACTTTGTTTCAGTACAATGCCATGGTATTTTTGGAGGTATCTTTGGCAATGTAAACTTTAGAGTTTGGTATGCACTGATTAAAAAAAACAGGACACCAAGAGAGTATAACTAATTCTCTGATGAATGGTTTCATTAGCGTAATTTAAACCAGCCTGCAATTATTTTTGAAACAGCAATGTCCACTTTACGTTCTGATGGTTTATTTACTTTGGGACTGACCAGTCTCATATATCAGGTAGACAGCACAGGACTCAATCTGATGGATCCTTCTGTACTATGTGATTCCCTCTTGGTAACCAAGTCTTTTGGGCTGACACTGAATTACAAAGAATGCTTTTTGGGACTATATTTCACCTTTAACCATTTTTGATTTTCAATAGAGGGAAAACTGAACTGCTCATGCACAATAATGTAGTATGTCATTTCACTCATGGTCAGCCTCCATTTTCCATATTGACTATCAGTAGTGCATAACAATTCAATTTGACTGATATTTACCAAACACTTTGAAAATTAGGTGAATGTAGACCTAAAGTGAAAGAAGAAAAAATACACACACTCCTGACTATAAGCTGTTTGAGCAGCTCAAGAACTTTTAACAAATTATCATCAGATGGAATGCCATTTCTGTAGAGTAGATACAGGAAACTGAATTGACATTTTAAGATGTGTCTATCTGAAGAAACAGTGAGGAAAAAATGACATATTCTGAAGGCCTTTTAGGGAAAGTATTGGTACATAGAAATAAAAAAGCCTGCTATCATTCGCCATCTTATGGTACTTCTAGGCATAGTTCTAGGTATTGTTCACTGATCTTAAATTGCTTTAGAATGGTATCTGTAAATATTTTAGGTGATTTAATAATTTCCTTTTATAGTAACATAAAAAACATGATGTACAAAAGTTTATCTCTTTGTTGCAGTATTTTCCATCTAATTCTATATTATGCTATATAAAATATAAACAGAAATGTCATCATGACATTTTCAAATTTCACAATAGATCTGAGATTTAACTTTTGTCAACCGTCTTGCTTCTGTTACAAAGCACAGACATAATATAGATTGCCCAGTTCATAGAAACTATGGACAGATGGAATTTTGAATTCATATCCAGTAATTTTATTGACTATTAATGTCCTAATTTAGAAATACAGGCTGCTTTCAATAATCATGCTTGTCGCCTTTTCCCAGAGTGACCACCCCAGCTCTTCAACATAGCCAGCATCTCAGTTGTAGCAAAACACATAAATGGGCTACTGCCTATATCTGAATATCCTTGTTTAGAAATATCAGAGAGGATTTTTCTATTTTAATACCAAAATATTTTTCTCTAGTAAGTTGCCCAAGTTGGATCAAATTCTGATGTCAGTGAGAATTACAGGTGTCCAGCATTTTTCTTAGTCTGACTACATAACATGCTAAAAGCCTATCAGCTGCACATCAGTCAGTGAGAAACTGAAAGTACCTGGCAGTTTATCAGAATTTCAAAATATCAGACCCAGCACGCTTCATTCTTTTGAGCTGTATAAGCCACTTTCACAAAGTCTAAAAAGCTTTTTTGATTTAAGACTGACTCTGATAAATATTTCTAACTCTCTAGCGACAGAATCTAGACTTTAACCTGCCCAAATCTTTTGCGTATCTAAAAGGTTATAAAATTGCTTGCACTCATTGACATTCTGCATTTCCAGAAGGCAAGCAATCATGTAAATTTACAAATTTCATATGTGATTGTGTTTATCCTATTTTTTTTTACACTCATATTATAAACTTATTTATCTAGTTCTTTTTATATTGCATAGACATTTATATATGTTTGGAAAATTAATTGCTATATTTATGACAGTGTAATAGGTTATCAAGAATATTCACAGCATAATCACCATAAGTAATGGCATTTATTACCTATGCATGTTGGCTGAATGCCACTCCAAGTACCATCTGCTTGACAGAATCTTCTTGAAGAGCCTATCAGAATAAATGGAGGTCTGCACTGAAAGCTAACTTCAGATCTGTATGTGAAACTTTTTCCATTGAGATGTCCTTCTGCTGGAGTACCAGGATCGCCACAAAACACAGCTAATACATAAAAAAGGAATGAAAAAGACATATGAAAAACTGCACATGCTTCAACTGAAGTATCCAGCATTGGTTTATATGCAAGACAAGCATATTGAATATTAGTGTAAATGTGCTAATTCACTATATTCATTGATCTGTAGGATTGTAGCTCAGATAAATTTTTGACAGCAATTTTAAATTGTCACTGTTATTATAAGCATAAAACTTAACCCAGAAAAACAGACCTTTCATTTGAGACACTTAAATGCTGATTAGAATTGGATGATAAACCTAACACAGACAATGCTACAATGTAATGCTTCAAAATGTATCCAGATTTCACATCAATCACCCTCAGATGAGTAGGTTGGAAATTTTTGCCCTGATTAAGTAAAAAGAAAAAATGTTTGTCAGAGACCTGACAAGATTTCTAGTACTGAAAGAGATAATTTGACAGATTTAGAAGCAGCAGAAAAACAAATGCAAACAAGATATGAGGGTATGTACTTGCCTTCAGGAAATAAAAAGATAATTCAGAAAGAAGATGCTCACCACAAGTCAAATTCAGAACATTCAAAAAGATTATCGGTAAGGCAAATGGTGATAGATCCAATTAGGTAGTAAGGGATGGAGGCGACTTTTGGGGAAAGGAAGAAGACCAAGACCTTCAATGGCACAACCACCTGATTTTATAGCAAGGTATGCTTTTTTGGAAGAAGGAGGAAGAATCCTGCAGCTATTCATATATTACCTGATCTAGCTGAGTCTTTTGAAACTGTGAGAAACTGACTGTGGCCTGAGACGACTGATTGCAGCTTTGGTGAAGCCCAACGCAACCGTACCCTGAAAACTTACGCAAACACTGTGGGATGTCTCCTCGCCAAACTCCTCGACCCTCACAGGAGAGAATGGCCGTGTTGGACAGCTGGTAGCCTTCTGCACAGCTGTAACTCACACTGGCACCCCAGCGGTAGTCAGAGCCTTCCACTTTCCCATAGAGCACTGGTGGCGGGGGGCCGCAAGTGATAGCTGTGCCACCGAAAGAGAAGTTACAATTACGTGGTTTTGCAGAACACAACGTGATATCTACTCATACTTTTGAAGCTAAACCAAAAATATTTCATGCTGTTTAGTTCCAACAAAGCATTGCCATGTTGACAAAGCAGCCTGTAATAGACAGAAGACCAATTTACATACCAAAATACAACCTCTAGGTATAGCAAGTCCCTGAACTTTATGTTGCTGAAAGCCAGAAGAGTTCATAGCTTACCTAGTTCTGATCTGTCCCCTACATATCTATTACTGATCATTGTTGCCAGCAGGCTACTGAGCTAGGTAAAAGCCTTCAATAAATATGATTTATTCAAGAAATACGTTTCTATGATTATAAATATTTGCATTTTATTTTAAACTAGTTTTCCAACATTATATAAAGCCATTAACATGACTGTTCTTTCACCTGCTCGTTTTCTATGGCTTTCAACACACAATGGACATTGACTTTATTAGCAATTAGTGGCTAAGAGTCTAAAAATATTCTGATGTTTTCCAGCTTCTGAGAGAGTGCCCAAGAAGCTAAAATCTGTAATGACCAAGTTTACATTTACACATCAGTTCTTTCAGCTGAATGCATATGCCAAAATTTACTTAGTCAGCTAGACTTAGATATCACTGTAAAGCAGTCCTAGATGAGTTGGCAGCCTTGGCCTTTTACAAGCAGAAGATGTGCTAGGCTGTTAAAGCTACTCCCTGGGCTGCTGTAGTGGTATTCACAATTTTCACCAGGCTGCCTGATTTGCCTTTCAGCCTCATCCTAACTATAACTTTTATGTTAGCACTTGTAATTAGCTACTTGTGAAGCATCTGTTTGGCCATTTATTATGACTACACTACTGCAACAAGGGAATCTTTTATAGATGATTTGGTTTGCAGGACCCCTTTACAGAATTTAGGCCATCTAATACAAAATAAAAGGACTCAAAAAGGAAAATGGATACTTAATTTCTAAGAATTTAAACTGGGCATTCTGACAGTCTTCATTGCAGAGTGATTTGGTTTTACTGTAGTTATTAACGTTGCTATTCTGACTGACACTATACCACAGCATATGTGCAAAATAAACACAAATTTTACAAAAATACTTACCTAAATGTTTTAGTTGCAAGTTAACTGTCTCAGAGAATGTTTGACACTTTTTTATACATAAAGACACTGAGTAGTGAATTTCACATATAGTATCAAAACAGTACTTGTAAACTATTTAAATTCAAAAGCACACCTTTGCAAATTGGTTTACTCTGGTTCCAAGTGCTGTCTTTTATGCAACGCATGGTAGATGCACTGGCAGGCTCCATCAAGTATCCTGGATTGCATTGATACCTGACTGTCTTATTGAAGGTAAAATCGTTTCCAAACTGAATGCCATTTGCTAATGCACCTGGATCTCCACAGCTGATCACTAGTGAGGTAAAGAAAAAAATGAATTATTTTTTTGTTCCAATAAACACATAATCAAACATTAGTATATATGCCTAATGTCATTGTTTTAGCAAGAAAAATTTGATAAATATATTTCACACAAAATAAAAAATGTAATCTCTAATTTTTAGCTAAAAAGTCATAATTTTGAGTCATTGCAATAGCATGGGTCAAATATTGTTTTCCTTAAATACACTAGCTTAAGCTGGTATGCTCTACTGTTACAGGCTAAAGGAAACCCTAGAGGAACACCTATATGTTATATTTTTAATGTTGACATTCATGTAGAATAAATGGTAGTTCTGGAAACATCTAGCATGTATTAAAAATGAAAAAAAAAATGTTATTTTATCAATAACCCAATTATTAAATTATTATTTTCAGTAGGAAGGCTGGGTGACTTACTACTATAAAGCTTGAGATGAAGAAAGTTTATTTCTGACCTGTGCAGTCTGGAGCAGTGCCAGTCCATGTCCCATTAGCAGTACAATGTCTAGTAGTTAGGCCTGAAGTTTTGTAACCTTCCCAGCAGGCATAAATGACTGAGCTGGAGAATAATATTCCATCAGTGTATATTATCATACCATTGGCTGGGGTGCCAGGGTTTCCACAAGATACAGCTGTGAAGAAAAGGTTTAAAAAAAAAAAAAAAAATCAGTATTGGTAATACGATCATTTTACTTCACTTGTTTTTGTTTTTATTTTTTTTCCAGCTGCTGATTCAGATAGTTTGCACTGATTGTTCCACTCCACCCAGTTCAGGCACTGGAGAGAAGAGAGCTCCTTCAGGACTTTCTGGCAGACCTGTGCCTCTGTTTTGCCTTTGGGCACATTTTTCTATTCTCTTCCTGTCTTATGGTATCTCCTCTTTTCATTGTAAAAATACATAAATAATAAGTTATGATCTTCCTGTCCATTTTGGGTTTGAAGCAAGAAAATAACTGATATTCTGTATTAGCTTCCATTACTTTTTGGCACCTGTAGCTATACATTAAAGTAATGATTCTGTTTCAGCTTCAAACTTCTGAGATTTGACAGCAGTTTACTTTGATTACATGTTATTTGGTGGGGAGGTTTGAGGGGTTGTGGTTTGTTTGTTTGTTTGGGGTTTTTTTGTTGTTTAACAGTGGATCAGCCAATTGTGAGAAGAATTATCTTGTTTTGAATTTTTCTAACAATTTTCCTCTAAAGCATCTTTACCTGACCATACCAGTAGACAAGACACTGGCAAAAGTATAACTTCCCAGTGTTGAACAAAGACTATTCATATTCATAGGAATAAAATAAAACTGTCATGAGATTAAAAGATTAATAGGGTTAATCAAGTTAGTAAAAAATGTGCATCTAAATCAAACTCTTTCCTTCAGTCTTACATGGAGCATGAAGTGGTATGTAAAACTAAGAGGACAAATTTCAACTGTCTCTTGCACAGCTTTCAAGAGCTGGCAACACTTCCTACTCTTCCTACAGCGCAAATAAGCGTGGTCTCTTGAGAAGTGAAATGATTTAGTCTAATACAATTATATGATCAAACGTAAGCATGATTAAGCCTAATGGGTTGGAATATTGTGCCGGATTAGACCTGGCTAACAGCCAAATGCCCACCCATATGCTTACTGCCCTCTTCTTAACAGGGAGGATGACAAAGAACATGGGTTGAGATAAAGACAGGGAGGGGAATTGCTTACCAGTTAACACTGTGGGCAAAACAGATTCCACTTGGGGACAACTCCTTTAATTCATTGCCAATTAAAATAGATTTGGATAGGGACAAAAAGACAAATATGCAACCAACACATTTCCTCCCCTGTTTCTCAGGAAAAACCCACTTATAATACTAACTTCATTCCTTAACTTCAGGCTCCTCTAAACTGCCCTCGAGTGGTGCAGAGGGGACAGAGTATGAGGAGCTACAGTCACTGTGTGGTAATTTGTCTCTGCTGCTTCTTCCTTCTTAGAGAACTGGGGGAATTCAAGTCATAATCACAGCCTGAGCTGCATAAAAATGTTGGTCAACAGCTTGAGGGAGGTTATTCTGCCCCTCTACTCCTCTCATATAAGACCTGATCTAGAGTACTGCACCCTACTCTGGAGGCCCCAGCAAAAGAAAGGCATGGACCTCTTGGATCAGGTGCAGAGGAGGACCACAGAAATGATCAGAGGGCTGCAGACCTCTCTTGCAAAGAAAGACTGAGACCGTTGGGGTTGTTCAGCCTGGAGAAGAGAAGGCTTCAGGGAGACCTTGTTGTGACCTTTAAATACTTAAAGGGGGCTTATAAGAAAGCTGGAAAGAGACATTTACCAAGGCCTGTAGTGACAAAAGAAGGGATAATGATTTTAAACTGAAAGCAGGAAGATTTAGATTGGACATAAGAAATAAATTATTTACAATTTGAGTGGTAGTGGAAGTGTTCAAGGTCAGGCTGTCTGAGGCTTTGAGCAATATAATCTACTAGAAGATGTCCCTGCCATGGCAGGGTGATTGACTAGATTACCTTTTGAGGGCACTTCCAACCCGAGTATTTCTATGATGCTATGATAATACCAAGAAAGTTAATGATCATGTGCAGATACTGGTCAGGGTACAACACTGACCTGCATTAAGAAAGCTCAGGTGAATTCATTAAGGCTAAGTATATTTATGAAATTTATGCAAAAACAAGGATCTGCAGATGCTTAACATTTGATAAAATTATAATTTGACAGTGGTTCACTATAAAATAATCTTTACACTACATGTAATACTTATTTTAGTTACTACATTTCCTCATATTGCTTAATTCAATTTATTGAATCTTCCTGTTTATGCAAATCAGAGAATCAAAGAATTACAGAATGGTAGAGATTGGAAGGGGCCTCTGGAGGTAATCTGTTCAAGCAGGGCCACCGAGAGCCAGTTGCCCAGCACCATAGCCACATGGCTTTTGACTAGCTCCAAGGATGGAGACTCCACCACCTCCCTGAGCAACCTGTGTCAGCACTCAGTCAGCCTCCTTGTAAAAAAGTGTTTCCTGATGTTGGGACCAAAACTATGTTTCTGTTTGTGCTCATTGCTTCTTGTCCCATCACTTGGCACCAATGAAAAAAGCCTGTCTCTATCTTCCATGCACCCTAACTTCAGACATTTATATATGTCAATAAGATCCCTCCTGAGTCTTCTGTTCCCTAAGCTGGACAGTCCCAGATATTTCAGCCTTTCCTCAGATGCGAGATCCTTTACTCCCTTCATCATCTTAATGGCCCTTTGATAGACTCCATCCAGCAAGTCCATGTCTTTCTACTACTGAGGAGGTCAGAACTGGACCCAGCACTCCAGATGTTGCCTCACAATGCTGAGTAGAGGGGAAGTTTCACTGCCCTCCTAAAGCAGCCTGGGATACCATTAACCTGATTTGTACCAAGGGCACATCACCGATTATGTTCAAGCAGTTGTCCACCAGGACGCCCAACTGGATGGTTCCCAGCATGAGAGACTTTATTAGTTAGAATCTGATAGCTAGAGATGATAGGATTCATCAAAGAAACCCACAATTTGCCAATTAAAAATTACTTTGAGTATTACTAATGTTTGGAATAACACCTAAATGTGTGTGTTTTTGAATGAAGTCTTATTAATTTTTTATATATAGAACTTTCACATACTGAAGAGAAAAATTCAGTACATTGGTCCTTGAACTTGTAGGAATGAAATGGTACCCTTCCCATCACCTCATCTTTATTTCTACTAAACAGTAAACAAATGAAGGAGAAGATTAAAAAAAAAAAAAAAAGAAAAAGGCCATTTTGTGGGGTTTTTTTTGGTCTGTTTTTTTTTTTTTTTTTTTTTTTTTTTTTTTTTTTTCTGAAAACAGAAATTTGAAGCAAAAAGACAAAGAAAAAACAGTGGTATTTGAATCACCATTAATTGCCCCTGAGTGCTGCTATGCTACTAAATGTCTTCATGCAAAGGAAGAGCATTGCAAAACCTTTTTTTTTTCTGAAATTGATCCTGTGGCCACTGACATTTTCATATGGTGATTTTGATATCTACACTGGCAGAAGATTAGTCTGTGCTGAAGAATACTGCAAAAGAACAGTTGATAGATGATGATACTGTGAGAAAATCCCTAGCTGAAAAAGTGTAATGAATTTCTTTAAAATATTTTATTATATCTTGACTTTAAATGATAAAAAGTCTGTGTAGCAGACAACAGATACTATAGAATCCATCAACCCAAATGAATTAGATAAGGTAGCTTTTTTAGAAAAAAAGAAGTAATTTTAAAACTGAGTCTAAAGTCTTCCATTGCTGCTTTGCAATTCTGACAGTGCACAAAAAGCATAAAAATCCCTTATTATATTTTTATGTTATTCTAATAATTTCCAGAAATACTCTGTTGCATTTCTTCTGCAAGAACTAGGATAAAAATCTCATAAAAAATTACTCCAACTTATCTGGAGAAATATACATTGATTTATAATTAGTTAAGTATACAACATTATTTTACCACCTGTTCAGTCCTTGATTCATAGACCTTACATAGAAAGAGAAGATTCAAATATTATATTGTTAGAAGATGAATGTCAGATTTATCACTCCATTTTCATAACTTCAATCAGAAGCATTTGTTTAATTTCACATTTAACTCAAGTATTTATTTCCAGGTTCAATATTTGCTAGTCTAGAATTATTTTCTTCACAACCTTCTTACAAATCTGTAGTCCAAAACTTTATCAGTTCAGATTTAGTCTTTCAAGCAAAACATGAACTGCTTGGGAACTCTTTTATATCAAATTTCTGCAGAGCAATATGAAAGCATATTTCTGGCATAGAACAGCTTTTGAATTAAAGAATAAAATGTCATTATTAAATGTTATTCATTGGTGTCATAGATGCTGATGGTATGAACACATACCTTCACACACAGGCTGTATACCTGACCAGGAGCCATTAAGCAGGCATGTTCGTTCTGCAGGTCCTCTCAGCTGATAACCCATTTCACATGAGAAACGCAGCAGACTTTTTATTTTGAACTCGTCCCCTAGTCTAGATCCATGAGCTGGCACTCCTGGATCATCACAATAGCCAGGATTATTTCCTGCAAAACAACAGCAGAGCAGAATTATTGGCAGTCATTATGTGCAAATGGAGCAGTAGTGAAGATACTCTCTTGCTAATAGCACTACTAGCGGCATTGTTTCTATTATAGTCGATAACTTTTCTTTCCGTGCAAGGCCATAAAACCAAAGCCAAAGATGAAAAAAAAAACACCTTGTCTTTTTAGCATACTTCTTATCTCAGACTTATACAGACCTAAACATCAAAAAAAGATAAAAAATAATTGTGAACACAGGAAGCACCTGTCATTCTTTTTGTCGGTTCA